GACATCGCTGCATATTTCTTTAGGAAGATACGGTGCATTTTCCAAATTGCATGTGTAATATAGGAGCTGCCATTGATAGAGGAAAAGAAATTGAATACCGAAAACCAGGGATCCTGGGGAAATTTTTAAAAATTTTTATCTTTATGTTTCTTTTTTATATTACATGCATTTTATGAGTTGGAACAAGGAATAGTTCTTTCCATCCTGGCTAATGGAGCTGTGCATGACAAAACGTCTGCGAACTTTGTGTGTAGGCACAGTGATTTAAAACGGTGTGGACCCTCCCGGCGTCTTACACTGAACTTCTCTAAGGCACCACAATGCTTATGGAGTCTGTACAAAGAGGTGAACGTAATTTGTACTTCTGAGTAAATGAAAGTAAGTTTCGTGTACAGCTTGTCACACTGTATCGCCAGGAGACACTGTAAGTAAAAGATGGAACTTTCCCTAGTGGGACCACATGTATTTCCCTGAATACCTTCTACCCAGCAAAGCTCTAGAATGGAATATCTGTGTTTCCCCCACTGCTTTGTTTTCTAGAATTTACAGAGTGCAGTTAACAAAAAGATTGCTTAGAAGACGCATTTGTCCACAGAGGAGCTGCAGTACCGTTTTTCATGCGGCTATACAAAGTCAGAGCACTGTCTGTTCTTGCCCATAGCCTATGAAGGCCAGAGAATTAACACAGCCTCAACTATAAGTGTGTCTTTCTTTATACAAGAGAAATAGGTAAATTGAATTTTGCTTAACAAAAGGATATATAAAACACATTGGGAGAGCTGACAAAATAGGTTAACCCTATCATGAAAATCTTTGCTAAAGGGATCAATTATTCTTTAATTTATTTACTTCATAAATCCATAGCTTCATGTGTCAAGTTTGCGCAAGGTGAATTGTATCTCTTCCTGCAAAGCAGTTAGTGCAGAGATATTTTCTGTTTTTAAAAACTGGACGCCCAAAACAAATGACCTGTCCTCCCTAGGTATAGGGTATGAACTTGCTCCAGGCCCTTGTGTAGTTTAGAAAAGGCGAGCCCGAGAAGGCAGTCCCATCTTTACCGTGGGTTAAATGGTTTCTCTTCTCTGTCCTTCCACCTCTTCTCAGCTCATTGTTCCTTGAACGCTAAGTTTCTTGGTGCATGTTTATTTCCCTTGTGCTGTGATGCAGGTTTTCTGAGAATCGTCTCTGCTCAGGTGACATCAGCTCCCCCTTAGTGAGCTTGACCTCCTCTGGTTGCTTTCTGGCAGGAGCGCAACCTAACTGTAGCATGGGGAACGTCAGGTAAAGAGAAGGGGGCTTTCCGGGAAGTGTGTTATTGAGGAAAGTTCTGAAATCTCCCCCAGAGAGTATTAGATAAAATAGCTGCTTCTGGTATATGAAGTATATTTTAAAGGTTACTTCTGTGGTTATTTTATTTTGAACATTATAACTTATGCTATAGAGATTTATTTCTGAAATATCTCAGATGTGGAGCAATATTGAGCATCACTGTAGAGAACTGGTCGTCCTAACGTGTTGTTAATTAACTCATGCCCTCGGTGACCGTGCCTGAATAATAATAAAAGCTACCTTTTGGGGGCCTTTTTTAAAGTCTGTCACAGTGTTAGGCATATTTCTGCATTTAATCCTTTATAACAGTCCTACGATACAAGTACTTTTATCCTGTTTTTACAGTTGAAAAAATCAAATCTTAAAGAAGTAAAGTAAAACCAGGATTCAAACCTGTTTCTGGTTGACTGTAAAGTCCATGGTGTGAACACAGTTGCCATGTTTCTTCTCTGCATGCGAACAGCTCGATAGCCTCAATAAAGGCGGAGACTTTTGTTCAGGTGGAAGAGATCAACAAGTAAGGAGATGATGGCAATGCAGTGTGAGAGTGCTTAAATAAAAGACAGATCTCACAGGGTGCCAGCCAGGGGTGCACAGAGAAGGGGCACCTAACCCGACCTCCTGGGCAGATAGGCTTCCTTAGGGAAGGCTTCCTGAAGGAGGAAATACTTGAACTGAATATGAGTTTCTCAGGAAATTGTTGGTCTTTGAGATTATTAGTATATTAGTGTCTAGCTGTGCCTTGCTCCTTCCTTCCTTCCTTCCTTCCTTCCTTCCTTCCTTCCTTCCTTCCTTCCTTCCTTCCTTCCTTCCTATTTATTTCTTTTTTTAGTTTGTTACTGTTTTATCATTCATTCACCAATAACTAGGCCTGGCACTAGGCCTGGCTCATAAGTAAAAATGATCTTATGGATCTTACATTGGAGCAGGAGAAATAGATATGAAACAAAACAATTATAAACTAACTTTATAATGTAAATGCTACAAGGAAAAGTAGGCAGTATTGGAAGAGTGAATAACTAGAAACCTTACCTCACTGGACGAGGGGAGCAGGGATAGGGCGGTGATCAGAATTACTTGGGAAATGGCATTGAAGCTAAGAGCTCAAGAATGAGTGGGGTGGGAAAGGTGAAGGAGAATGTAGTCAATAATATTGTGATAACTTTGCATGGTAATAGAGGGTTACTAGACTTGTGATCACTTTATAAAGAATATAAATGTTGAGTCACTGTGCTACACACCTGAGACTAATATAATATTGTATACCAAAGGAGTTTAATATTCTTTTAAAGAATGAGTAGGAAATAGGCATGAGAAGGTGGTGGTTTTAAAGGGAAGTGTAGTAAAAAGTATCCCAGGTAAAGAGAACAACATGTGCAGAGTCCCTGAGGCCAGACAGAACTTGAGCAGCTTGATAATCTGAAATTAGGTCTGGTGGCTTGATAGTGTAAAAAACATGCTAGAGAGAGAGATAGGGCTAGATGATTCATGACCTTCTAAATATACTGTTATAAGCTGCCTCAGCTCAGGCAAGACTTAGAACATAAATTTAAATTTAAAAAATTAAAAATGATATTGCTTAAAAATCCTAAGATCACCAGTTCATATTCTCAACTCTAATTTATCAGTTCTTCTTTTGTTATTCAAAAATATTTTCTTCTTGTTTTTGAAAACAAAATGTTATATATCATATCTATATCACAAAAAGCATTGACTGCATACCGTGTTTGAATTTAGAGTAAAACTTGATTTACTACCGAGCAAGTCTTGAATAGAGAGATATTCTGAAAAAGATTAGGTATCATCAATAACGTTGCATCAATTTTTTTTTAAATGTAAAGGTCCTGCCTTTTTAAAAAATATATATTTTATTGATTTCAGAGAGAGGAAGGGAGAGGGAGAGAGTTGAAACATCAATGATGAGAGTCATTGATCGGCTGCCTCCTGCACACCCTTGACTGGGGGTCAGGCCCACAACCCGGGCATGTGCCCTGACCAGGAATCGAACCACAGTCTCCTGGATCCTTGGTCGATGCTCAACCACTGAGCCACGCCCGGTTGGGCGCAACTCTCAAATTTTAAAACAAAGATTATATAGCCCAGCCAGCATGGTTCAGTGGTTGAGCGTCGACCCATGAACCAGGAGATCATGGTTCTGATTCCTGGTCAGGGCACATGCCCGGGTTTTGGGCTTAATCCCCAGTGAGGGGCATGCAGGAGGCAGCCGATCAGTGACTCTCTCTCATCATTGATGTTTCTATCTTTTTCTCCCCCTCTCCCTTCCTCTCTTTGAAATCAATAAAAACGTTTTTTTAAAAGTTTATATATAACGGTTTTCCAGATCACCCAGAAAACATCACATTATTTCAGAATAGTGCAGATGACTGAACATCATGGTCATCACACTTCTAAGCAGGCTTTCAAAGGCAAACAGCAAGGGTTGCATGTTGTTTTAGGGCTTTCCTGAGGGTCCTAATCTTTTCCAGTAGTGGATGGACACGGAGAGGGAGCACNCTCTCATCATTGATGTTTCTATCTTTTTCTCCCCCTCTCCCTTCCTCTCTTTGAAATAAATAAAAACGTTTTTTTAAAAGTTTATATATAACGGTTTTCCAGATCACCCAGAAAACATCACATTATTTCAGAATAGTGCAGATGACGGAACATCATGGTCATCACACTTCTAAGCAGGCTTTCAAAGGCAAACAGCAAGGGTTGCATGTTGTTTTAGGGCTTTCCTGAGGGTCCTAATCTTTTCCAGTAGTGGATGGACACGGAGAGGGAGCACAGAAGTGTGTAGCACAGCCCCCTCCTTTCAGACCGGCTTACTTGGTACAAATGAAATATTGATGTATTTGAAAATGCCCAAGTGTTCGATAAAGATTTTAAATAAAGCTACCTAAAAGTTGTGGTTCTTAGGTTAATCATTTATTTATCTAAAGGATGAGGGAAGCTGTCTACTTCTGTGATATGAACTGCAATCAGCTTAAAAATAATTGACAAATTAATCCCTTCACAGCACAGCGATTGTAAAGGTGTTAGTTTTAATTAGGCCTGTCTGATTGCCTTGTCTAATCAAGAATCAAGGTGGTATCTTTGATGGTTAAGGTCTAGTGGGGCCATCCCTGACCTGTCAGCCATGTATGTTTTAATTATTGATTCCTCGCATTTCAGCCCTTTTAACAGAGGGACTTGAAGTTTGCAATACCTTAACATTTAAAGGGAAGAAAAATAAACATTTCCCAGCACTTCTATCTAGAATCTTGTGTATTCTCTCCACCAAAGTACAATTTTGTCCTAAGAAGCCTGTCAGGTTGACGACAAAGCAAACGCGCGTTCCAGCGCGCCCTTCCTGCAGCCTGCCTCCCAAGCGCTAGATCCTCCGTGGACGCTGGCGGGGTCCTGGCCGTCACAGCGATCCATGCTTCTCGAAAACACATTTGATTTCTCGGCATCATATGTCTTTTACAAAGTCTGTAAGGGCGAATGTCGTATTTAGGAAACCGGGGCGGTCAGACAAGCAGAGACCTGCGTCCCCTCACTAAGCACTTGCTCGCTCTGCTGAGCAGCAGTGAGGGGAGGGGCCTGGTGCCACCCTCAGCACCCCTGAGCGCGGCGGCTGGCGGCCTCGGTGGTGCACATGCGTGACGGTGGCTCTTCTCTGGTTTCAGGTCAATGAAGTGACGGTGGAGCAGCTGGTGCAGCAGTACCCCCACATCACCTTCAGCACCGTCCTCCAGGACTGCAAGAGGACCCTGGAGAGAGCCTACCAGATGGGCTGGACCCCCAACATGTCAGCCGCCTCCTCCTAACGCCCCTGCCACGCTCAGGCCACGGGGATTGGTTGGCAGGGCAGACAGGAGTCGGCGATGTGGGGCGGGCGATCTCTTGGGAAGGTTCTAACTGTCACCCGTCTGTGTGTGTCCCCGAGTGTGTGTATTTGTGTCTCGTTTGCCTACTGCCTAGCATAAGCGCAATTGCTGTTTATTCCCCAGTGAGCTGGTTTTTTTCCTTAAAAGTTAAAGATTTTAAAAGCCACAAGCCTTTTTGTTTTTAAGTTCAGAGGCTTATTTCTCTAAAAAAGTGTTTTTACTGTGGAATAAAAAATAAATATTGAACCTGTTATTTTGAGCTTCTGATTCCTGCCAGTTGGTGACGCCCTAAAACGAAGGCAACTGCGTTCTTTTCTGGTGAGATAGACTTGTGCCCTTCTGCTGTGACGACCAGAACATGAGTGACGTCACACTAGCTGGAAGCCTGGGAACCATATACATGCACACGCGAACCAGGGCAGTTTCTCTCTAGGTCACTTTCTGACAGGGGCCTCCCTCCAGGCCACCGGGAGAGCACGCTGTCCACTGTGGCTCTGCCTAACTCTGCGTCCACAGGTGGCCATTTGCTATCTGGTAGGTGACTTAGGGACTAGACAGGATAAAGCCTTTTGTGCAATTGTTATGTGGAGGCAACAATCCCCTGGTCAGCTCACAAAAGTTAATTATTCATTATTCTACAAATGTGTTGTGTTGAGTACTAAATATTTTAGTTGAGTTTTACGTTAACATTGTGTTAGCTTTTATTTCATGGATAGTAATTGGTCTGGATGTATTTTAATGATATTTGGAGCTAATCTTAGCATTATCCACATTAAAGCCACCAATGTAATTAATAGTGTGAAGTTATTTTTTAAAACTCTACAGATCATTTAATTATTTTTGTTAATTTGGGTAATTATGAAATTATATTTCTGAGATTTGGGGGTAGTCACATAAATAGAATATGAATGAGTGAGATAGAAGTAGACAATCTGTTGTTGTTGCTTTGCTTTGGGCTTTAGAACAGGTCTTTTGGTTATACGCATGTTATTTTTTTTAATAGTTCTTATGCTATTGCAAAGATCTATTGCTGGTTTATGTATGAGTTAAGAAAAATTATAAAATCTTTTCATTAAGATTCTGTTTACACTTGTCAGAAATAAGCGTTTCTTTGTTTAAAGATTGACACCTTTCAGTTAAGAAAATATCTGTGTAAATGAATATATGTTTTGATTTCACATATCTTTACAATTAATTCATAGTAGGGACTCAGGCTCAAATAACCTTTCCTGTGTCTAGATTTATAATCAAGACAGCAGGGAGCCTTTTTACGCTCAAAAGTGATTATCTTTCCCAATAGAGCTAGATACAAAACCCTGACTCGTAAGTTTGCTATTTATTCTTCCCCAGTGTGGACATAGCTGTTGTTGTTTTTTGGTCTTTAACAGGTATACTAAGGTTTGAGTTTCACTTTCTGTAAGTCCCAGTATTGCTAAAATGAGACTAGCTATAAAAAACAAAAAAAATAGCTTTACATTCAAATGCCATTCACATATTTATAATGACTCCAAAAAAATGTAAACAACTGTGTGTTTTTTTTTTTTATTATGTTAGCATGTTTCTGATATGACATTGTTTTTTGCTTTTAATCCAAATCAGTTGGGAAAATCTAGCCAGTACCCATCAAGGGTATTTTATTCAGTCACTAAATGGATTACTAATTTAATTTGAAGGGAATGAAGTTTGTGTAAGAAAATAAAAAGCTGTTTACTATTTATAAACTGTAATTCTTCTTAAACATCAAACTGTATTGTTTTCATATTCATTTCCCCTCCACTGAAAAATATCTTAAATCATAATATTTTAACTGGTTTTTAATCCAAAACTAATTTATAAGACAGTATGTATAGTAATAGTAGCTTGAGTGAATAAGCAAAAGTTTAATTTTTATATATGTCACACTATATTTTAAATAGTTAAAAAAAGACTAAAGAAGGGAGCGCCATCAATGATATAGATGGTGCCATTTCAGTTCAAACTTGTAATAACCTTTGGAGTGTTACAGTTTGGTTGTCAATGGTTTCAGAAGTGTATAATTGATTTTTTTAGTGTTGCATTGTTTGACTCTAAAGTACAGCACTATAACATGCTTTAGCTTGGGTTCGGGGGGTGGGGGGGACTTGCACTTATTCTTTAAGATGTTGACTAATCCAGAAAGCCTGATGCAACATAACCTGGAAAACCGCTTTGGTATATTTGTAGAAATCTCTAGAAATATCATATCCAGCCTCAAAGCATTAATCTCAAAAAAAAAACCACCAGAAAAAACATTACCTTGAGTGATCCTGTGATGGTTGTTGAATGTGTTCTTATTAGATGCTTTGAAATGAGGCTTAAAATGATTTTTCTGGGCAATATAGACTTTCTTTTTTCTTTTGCTTAGAATGTCCTAAATGTATGTGAACACGTTTCATGCAGGGCTTTCCATCCTCTCCAGGACGTCAACAGTATTTTCAGAATAAAGACTATGAAATATATTGCTGTAGTGGAAAATTCTGGTCCTTTGTCTTTAATGTCTTTTTGAGTGGATAAAGGAAATTTACCTGGTTTGTAGTTTCTATATTTCTGTGAATCTTTTGACCTTGCAATGGGTTGCAATAAAAGAGAAACAAAACACTGTGTCTTTTGTTTTATTTTAGAGACAATCGGTGGTCTCCCTGGTGCTGGTCGGGCGTGAGGCAGGCAGGGGCGCGTGTCCTTGTGCGTTTCACTAGGACTTTATGCAGGTTTGACTAACCCAAGACAATAAATAAGACTGGGCGTAGGAGGTTCTAATTTGGCTAGTGATTACTAAGATACGATTAAAATTCAAGGGTTTAAACAAGTGGTTTGTTTAAAATCCCATTCCCTAGAAACGCATTCATTTACTTCACCACTTTTTCAATTTTTTAAAAGTAAATCAACACATTTATTGTGTAAAAAACCTGTGCCAGGCACTGGGCATTTATAGATCCCATCCTCAAGTTGCTCATAGCCTAGCAAGGAGACATTCTTGAAAACCAGCAATAGCAATGGAGCACAACAGGGATAATGGCATAATTAAGGGGAGGACTCATAGGACAGAGTAGCAGCTCTGGGAAGGAAGAGCTTCACAGAGGAGGAGCTGTTTCAAAAACTTTAATTTATTGGGCTAATAACATTATACAACGTTTAGGTGTACATTTCTATAACTCATCAGCCTCCACCTACTCCCTTTTTCCTCCGGTAACCACCAAACTGTTGTCTGTGTCTATGAGTTTGTGTTTTCTTTGTTCGTTTGTTGCTTTGTGTTTTTTATCCCACATACCATACATTTTTTGTCTGTTTCTATCTGACTTATCTCACTTAGCGTGATGCTCTCAAGATCCATACATGTTGTCACCAATGGCAACATTTTGGCATTTTCTTATGACTGAGTAGTATTTCGTTGCATATATGTGCCACATCTTTATCCAGTCATCTGCTGAAGGACACTTAGGTGTGGCCATGCCGTGACTATTGTGAATAGCGCTGCAATGAATATAGTGGTACATATATCTTCGCAAATAAGCGTTTTCAAGTTTTTTCGGTTTGTTATTTCTTGTCTTATTGATAATAGCCATTCTAACAGGTGTGCAGTGGTATCACATTGAGATTTTGATTTGCATCTCCCTTATAGGTAGTGAAGTTGAGCATCTTTTCACATGATTTTTGGCCATCTGTATGTCTTCTTGGGAGAAGTGTCTGTTCAGGTCCTCTGCCCATTTTTTAATTAGATTGTTTGTTTTTGTTGAGTTGTAAAAGTTCTTTATGTATTTTGGATATTAGCCCCTTATTGGAGATATCATTTACATTTATCTTCTCCCATTTGGTTGGTTGCCTTTTGTTTTGTGGATGGTTTCTTTTGCTGTGCAGAAGCTTTTTAGTTTATTTTTGCTTTTACTTCTCTTGCCTTTAGGGTCAAGTTCACAAAAACCCCTTTGAGACCAAGGTTCATAAGCTTTGTACTTACGCTTTCTTCTGTGTATTTTATTGTTTCAGGTCTTATATAAAAGTGTTTAATCCATTTTGAGTTACTTTTTGGGTACCATGTCAGATAGCAATCTAGTTTCATTCCTTTGCATGTGGCTTTCCAATTTTCCCAGCACCATTTATTGAAGAGACTCTCCTTTCTCCATTGTATGATGTTGGCTCTTTTGTCAAAAATTAGTTACCCATATATGTGTGAGTTTATTTCTGGGCTTTCAATTCTGTTCCATTAATCTGTGTGTCTTTTCTCTGCCAGTACAATACTGCACTGGTCATTGTAGCTTTGTAGTATACTTTTAAGTCAGGGAGTATGATACCTCTGGCTTTTTTCTTTTTTGTCAGAATTGTTTTGGCTATCTGGGGCCTTTTGTGGTTCCATACAAATTTGAGGATTTTTTGTTGTTGTTGTGCTATTTCTTTGAAAAATGTCATTGGATTCTGGTGGGGATTGTATTAAACCTGTATATTGCTTTAGGTAATATAGCCATTTTAACTATGTTAATTCTTCCAATCCATGAACATGGAATATCTTTTTATTTCTTTGTGTCTTCAATTTCTTTCAGCAATATTTTGTAGTTTTTAGTGTATAGGTTCTTCACTTCCTTTGTTAAGTTTATTCCTAGGTATTCTATCCCTTTTGTTGTAATTGCAGATGGAATTCTTAATTTTTTTCTGATATTTCATTGGTAGTATATAGAAACGCAAAATATTTTTTACATTGATTTTTGTATCCTGCAAATTTACTGTATTTGTTTGTTGTTTTTAATAGTCCTTTGATGGAGTCTTTAAGGTTTTCTTATATAGAATCGTGTCATCTGCAAAGTGACAGTTTCTTCATTCCCAATTTGATGCCTTTTATTTATTTCTCTTTCCTAATTGCTCTGACTAGGACTTACAGGACTATATTGAATAACAATGGGGAGAGTGGGCATCCTTGTCTTGTTCCTGATCTTAGAGGAAAAGCTTTCAGTTTTTCCCCTTTGAGTATTATATTAGCTGAGGGTTTGTCAAATATAGCCTTCATTAGGTTGAGGTGCATTTAGAACTATACCCATTTTATTGAGTGTGTTAATCATAAATGGATGTAGTATCTTGTCAAATGCTTTTCTCCATCTATTGATATGATCATATAATATTTATCTTTTATTTTGTTACTGTGGTCTTTGCATCCCTGGAATAAACCCCACTTGATTGTAATGTATTATCTTTTTAATGTATTGTATTCGAGTTGCTAATGTTTTTCTTAGAATTTTTGTACCTATGTTCATCAGAGATATTGACCTGTAATTTCCTTTTTTTATATTGTCCTTGCCTAGTTTTGGTTCCAGGGTAATGTTGGCTTTGTAAAATGAGCCAGGAAGTATTCTGAGGAGAAGCTTTTAAGGAGGGTTAAGGAGTAGAATAAATTTACCAAATTTACTGTGGGAAAGGAAGGGCAACCTTGAAAATGAAAAAAATATGTACGAAGGCATGAGGAAATAAGACAGAAAGGTATGTTCAGGGACTTTGGGATAACTGAGTAAAGTAAGAGTGGAGGGCATGTTCTGTAGGGGCAGAGGGTGGAAAGAGGTTCTATGGCTAATCATGAACTTTTCATGGCCTACTAAAGAGATTGGACTTGTAGGGAAAATCAGATCCACTGGAAAAGTCTTGCACTAAATTCAACAGGTAAAATTTTAAATGCAGAACTTAGATTTCTGGCAATGTGGTGAGTGAGATAAAGATCCCAAAAGATTTTCTGCTATGTAACATCTAAAATTTTTCATTAAAATATTTTAAAACCCTTTTCAGTTGGCTAGATGTGTCTGCAGGAAAGCAAAAGAAAACTCTTGTGGTCAGGATCAGAATGGGAACATCTATCTAGACCAGGGGTTAGCAAACTATGGTCCCTAGCCAGACATGGCCAGATGCATATTTTTGTAAAGAGAGTTTAATTGGAACACAACCACACACATTGTGTTCTCTACAGCTGCTGTTATGCTAGACAGAGTTAAGTCATTTTGACAAAGGCCATGTGGTACATAAAGTCAAAAATTTTACTGTTTAGCCTTTTACTGACCCCTGGTCTAGATGAGTGGTTCTCAAAGTGTGGTTCCCAGACCAATCACATCAGCAGCACCTGGGACTTTTCCAGAAATACAAATTCTTGAGCCCAAACTCAGATCTACTAAATCAGAAACTCAGGGAATAAGGTTCAGAAATCTGTGTTTTAGAAAATACTCTGGGTGAGGCTGATGCATGCTAGTTTTTTTATCTCGGAGAGATAAGCTTGGAAACTATCAGAATACGCGAGACTGATTGATCACCATAGCCTAGAGGCTGTGTAAAGAGCTTTGGGCCAGTAAATAATGGGAAGTTGAATCAGAGTCTACCTCACATAATGCCTGAAAGGCATTACTCTTTTACAAAAGATGAACTAAAATTAAACAAGGCAAAACAAAAATTGAAGAGGCAGACAGTAAGGAAAATTACCATTTTCAGTCTTGGCTATGCATGAATTTGTTTTTTAAGTTTCTGAAAATTAATAGCCACTGGCTACCATTCATATTAGTTTAGTACCTGAACCTACACTATTTGCATAGTGTTGCTTATAATTGTGGCTTTAAAAGGATTCATTTCTGAAAAAAGCAAAAAAATCATCTCTGGATAAAGGTACCCCCAATCTAAGCCTCAGAAGACACCTCACAAATAGAGTGCCAGCAAATATAAACTCAATCTAAAATCACGGAGAACAGGAAATAAGTTAGCATTACTGCAAGTCAACAGAAAAAACAAATGGTAGACCCACACCCTCAAAGGCTTCAATATTAAGTTTTGTGATACATAATAGAAAATTAATGTTTGATACATCCAAGATATCAAAAGTTATTTAAAACATGTATAAGAAACTACAAAAATGAATAGGTACATTTTTCAAAAAAGTAAGTTTTTAAAAATGAAGTAATTGAAGTTGAAATGGAAGGCCTGAATAGCAGGGCAGATTCCACTAAAGGGAAAATTTGTAAACTGAAAGGTAGATCTGAATAAAGTAAATTGAAGGAAAAGCAGGCCTTTTCTTTTGTGTAAATTATTTCCATACGGAAGACTGAGAGGTTAAGACACATGGGACATAGTATGAGACTTTCCAGCATATCTAATATTTCAGAAGAAAAAAAAACAATAGGGAAAAGGCAATGTTTAAACAAACAGTGGAGTTTCCATTTGTGGAGAAGGAAAGAAAAAATGGAGAAGAATATCAAAGATCTGGTTTTGGATGAGTTAATTCTGAGATACTCAGGCATCCAAGTGAGTATGTTGACTTCGCAGTTGGATATAGTTCAGTTCAAAGGAGAGGTATATAGATGGTCTCTAGGTGGCATTTAGAACCACGAGGCTTTCTGAAATCATTATCCTCAATCATCACCCATTAGTTAGATAGACAGAGGATCTAAGAACTGTCTCGGATCCACCAACATTTGGAAGTCAGGGAAGAAGGAAATCGTCAAAGGAATCTGAGCCAGAAATAACCTGAGGTAGGAGGAAAACCAGGAGTGTGTTCTGTCTTAGAATCAAGTGAAAACAGGAAAATGAAATAAGGAATTATGTAGGGACACAAATGTATTTATGAAAAGGTAATTGTTGCAAATT